TACATAAAATATTATCACACGCGAATTCACCTGTTATGATATGCGCATTAATTACAGATCAGAAATAATTTGAACGCTAAAGTGTTTTGTGCCCCAAATGTTTAACCTTCATCATCGAATCCATGAGTCAACTCGTGGCCTCCTGTACCTCCCTGACCGGCGTAGTTGTATGCTTGAGGATAATATAAGCTAAAATTTGAAAACAATAATTATTTTTCTAAACAGCAGGTAAACATTTGAGAACCCTCACTTATAGTAGGGAGGGTTCCAGATAGCATATGGGAAGGTGATTGAATTTCTTTCTGGTTGATACCATGCATTCACCATTGCTGGTGATTGCAGGAAGTTTGACCTTAAGTTATAAATTTTTAAGTAGTAGAGTACGGTAATATAGCAAACGAATAGTACCTATCAGCCTTTTCTGTAAGCAGACGGAAAGCTTCGCGATTTTCCAAACCTGTTTTCAGTATGTTGGAAATTGTGTAGTAGTCTGTTTTGTTCTTCTTGTAGGCATCAAGAATGGGTTGATAGTCAGGCTGAAGGCTTACACATCATAATCATAGTGGACTATATTTGAATTAATTCTTACGATGTGGTAATTATCCACATTCGTGAAGTTTACGAAATCACCGAAAAGTTCAGTGGGCCATCCGTAATTCTTATAGATGTTATCAGCTGAAAAATTCATTTAGCGGTTCTATTATATGGCTTACAAAGCTTGAGCATTTACATTTAAATTTAGCCGCCGCTTTCGAATCAGGAGTCATCCAGTCTAGAGTGCCTATCATTTCCTGAAACGAGCTGAAGATTCCTCACGTGTATGATGGAATGCTTTAGACTAAAGCTATTATTACCTGGAAGTTTGAGATGACTAAGTCCGTTTGATGGCTTACATCTTTAACAACATCATTCCTGTTTGCCTGTGCTTTTACGTATACATAACCTAGGCAATGAGAAACTAAATAAAGCTGTGATTTTTAGAGGAAAAAAGATGGAAACTTAATAAAATTAGATTATCAATTTTATAGACAAAATACAAGATTACCAGGGCCGTAAGGCATGTACGCCATGATTAAGTCTATGCAGTCAATGGAGGGATCATCCTGATCATCAAACTTTCTC